ATGAAACAAACTCTACATTAAAAATGTCGGCGTGGTTAACCAGAATGCTTTGTTACCTCAAATGATATAATTAACGAAATATTTTCAATGATTTGTTTTTATTAGATCTGTTTTGTTTTATTGTTGTTGTTGTTTATTGTTGTTTTTTGGATGGTGGGGTATTGATTTTAGTTCTTTTTTTTTAATTCATTTCAAAATATGGTATTTACCTTGCCACAAAAAAGATATGCATGGAAAGAACTTCATATGATATCATATAATATCATGAAACGTTTGCAAACGAAAATTCAGACAATATTGATGTGACTGAACATTCATGAATATTGTAATGAGATGTAATATAACTATATTACTAATCTCATATTTATTTTCGCTGATTATATAAAAATCACAAACTTAAATGAAAATAAATTTAAATTTGAACAATAATGAGAAATACATGTGTTCAAGGAAAATTATTATATCAAAACTGTTATTTTTCAAGTTAAAATCTCAAAGATTATAATTTCCAGAAATGCATAATATTATATATCACACTACATAAAGATCTTCGACAATGGAATACTTAATGATTTTTCCCCAAAATCATATTGTTGCTGAATCATAAATGATTTTGTTGACTTTAGAATGATAGTTGAAACATTGTAAAATATGGTTTGATGTCTTCCTTCTTATTTGTTCAACATAACATTGTATACATACTGTATGATTTATAGTCATACAGTTCAAATTTAATAAATTACAATAAGATAGATGAAAAGTTATGTTGGCAAGAGTAACAAGCGTATGACTTATTTAACATGACTTATCTAAGAGAGTTTGCAAATAACACACATATGATTATGTTACAGCTAGGTTTAAGCTGAAATCGAGACATAAAAAGGCAATTATTCTTATTTCTAAGATGACATAATCGTTGTATGTAACAATGAGATTATTGTTGTGGTTATCTACCTTTTACTAGTATGCATAAGTAAAGTGAGTGTAAATGAATAGTAATAGTCTAGAATAGAAAGTTAAGTCCGTTCTATAAATGCATAAAACAGATAAATTACCAGGTTATTGTTTTGATACGTGTGCTTTACATAAGTGTTTCGAATTTCTGCATGAATATGCATAATAAGAAATATGATTTGAAAAAGGTCGTCTATACTTAATTGTAATTTTTTAAGCATATTAATAAGAAATTATATTTGTTGCTAGCAAAGTTAATGAACAATCATTTTCTATTTTCTCTTGAAATATTATCGTGTAATCCTTTTTCTATTTCCAGATTGAGTCTAATTTGGTTAAAAAATTCCTATGGATATCTTTATTTATGATCCTTAAATACTTCTCACACTTAAATTCGTTTTGTTTTTAAAAACGCTGTAAGATGGAATACCGTTAGAAAGTTTGAATCCCAATTCTGTAAAAAATCAAAAACAAATCTTAATTTGATCACGTTATTACATTAATTATATAATTAATATTTATATTATCTTATTAAAGTCAGACATATAAGCTATTTGGTTCAGCATATATATCCAATGTTTATAAACATTACACTGTTTTGTATTACCATTAGATATCTCCTTATTTATCCATATATTGCATCTAAATTTGTTGATTTATGGACAAGGAATCGTTAGGAGGTATTTACAGTGTACAATTTCAATATTTTACAGCCATAATATCCAAACAATTCAGCACTACAGTTTGAAATTGATCCTACTTATATATCAAACTTGAATCTTTAAGTCCAGTTGGTTAAATACTGTTAAAAGGTTACTGAATAAAGTTTAAAGATATATAAGCGTACATCATAACAAATTACGGAAACTAACAAATAAAACCGAAAATTAAGTCTCAAGTCGCAAGTCAATATTGTCAAACAATATGTGGTCTTGATGCTGTCTTACTAACATTGGTCAGCAAGTCGTTATCATTAATTATTGAGTATTATTAGGTATTTAGAACCATCAAATCATTAAAACCCTTAGCGTAAATCGTAATGATTTACGGAAACTAACAAAAGTACTAGGTCATTGCAAAACAATAAACGTATAAGCACAATTTGTCAATAGAAATTTGTTTACTAGATATTTGTTAATACAATAAAATCAAATGACTTACCAGTACTAATCATTGTTAAAAGCTTCGATAGGAGAAGAAACGTAAGTCGTGAAAAATCCATATCACAACTGTTCACTGTTTAAAGTTTCAAAATGTCGAAACTTTACTGAACGATTAAGGAAGTATAGAAACAAGTATTTAGGTTAAAGATCTAACTGGCTTGATATAGTTTATTCATATTTCGCATGTTTACAAAATGAAGGGTTGAAAACGAGTCAGACAATTTACAAAAAGAAAATCTGTGTTAACACATAAATATTGCTTAATAAATTCGGCTATAAACAACTTAAAATGAAAATCTGTTAATTATTATGACAAATGACAATGTAGATTGCAAAAAATATATGACAAAAGTCAGACCAAAATGGGTGAATTGATTATACATAACGACAAAATAAATCCGATGTATTTCTACTACGGCACTTTTAAATTAATTAAACATGTTTTCAATTTAGGTAATTATGGAGCGATTTCTACCAGACTTAAATACATCTTAAATTGACACGTGTCTAGTTTTGAATTCATGCACACATCCCGAAACAATTGCATAAAATACTTCATTTTCGCCATTAATATAGCTAATATCGTTATAAACATTTATCATAAAATAGTAGCATTTATAAATGACCCAAGGATCTATGTTCGTGTAAATAACATTAACGGTATAACGCGTGCGCCACCGGTCAACAAATCGGAATACAATAGCATACGGGTAAAGAAAAGTTTACAGTTGACAGACAGATATTTTATACCGAGTTAATTATATGTTGATAACTGATTTTCTTTCACATGAATTTAATGATAAAATATTTGTGGTAGCAAACATTCATAATAAATCGATGTTCTCTGTAGTCATGGTTTTATATTTATTAAGGCACATTATTTCTCTCGTGTTAATGTTATTATATCCATACTGAGATAATCAAAATCAATTTGAAACAAGTCGCAATTAAGCATTTACAACTTTACTTATGTTATTTGCAGCAAACGTCGAAAGTTTATTTCATTTTCCCTGTGACTGGTTTCACATCTTGATTTGTTGTATGCACGAAAGGTTGTTCTCATTATACAATTGAAAATAGGTCAAAGACAGAAAAGGCTCTCATTTGTATATCAAATATTATGAGGCTGAAATGTTACTAACATTTTCTACCATTTACCATTGATGTTGAAACTTTAACTTTTAACTACCGGTAAGTCGGTTAACAGGAAGTGGATGTACAAATGAACTGACATTGTCTCGATCAGTATGGGACCACGTATTTATGTTGTATACCAAATGTCAAGAGGCTGTGATAAGTAAATGCTGAGAAAACTATTTTTTTACCATAAATGGCGAAAATTAAACTAAGTCAGTTATAGAAGTGGATGCGAGACAGACCTGAAATCGGTTCCCACGGTTTTGGACTATGTGTTAATGCTGTTTAACAAATTTAAAGAGGTTGTGATAAGTAGTAACTGAGAAAACTGTTACGAAAATTTCTAACCATTGACCATTTATTTCGAACATTAAACTAAGTCGGTTAACAGGAAGTAGATGAGCGACAGACCTAAAATTTAATTCCACTGTATGGGGCCATGTGTTGGTGCTGTATACCAATGATCAAGAGGCTGTGATAAGTAGTTGCTGAGATAACTGTTCCGAAAATTTCCTACCGTTGACCATTAATGTATATAATTTAACTAAACCGGCAACCAGGAAAGGAATGAGCGACGGACCTGAAATCGGTTCCCACGTTATGTGACCATGTGTTAATGCTGTATACCAAATATCAATAGGCTGTGAAAAGAAGGCTGAGAAAACTGTTACGAAAATTTCCTTTTATTGATCATTAATGTTGAAAATTTAACTAAGCCGGTTAACAGGAAGTGGATGAGCGACAGTCCTGAAATTGAATCCCACGGTATGGGACCATATGTTTATGTTGTATACCAAAGAAAAGAGGCTGTAATAAGTAGATGCTGAGAAAAATGTTACGAAAACGTTTTCCCCGCCCCCGCCCGACATATTCCATACTTAAACCCGAGTTTGCACCGGTGCAGCCCGGTCGAAAAAACAAAATGTCTTTTTTTGCGTTTAAATAAAACTGTTTGTTATTAGGTTTATTTTACATACATTTACACAATAAATTATTTCACATAGTAAATGTGTGTGACGAAAATTTGAAACGATATAACAAGCAGATTCAGGAAGCTTTCAATAACCGTTACCTTAGCTGGTTTGTACTTGAAAATACAGAAAACAATTTCAGCAAAGTCAATCAAAGATTTCGAATTTTTTAAACAGAACAAACTAAGTATCACGACTGACCATAATTAATCAGACCATTTTGATGATATTAAGAATGAATCACAATTTTCACTTTCGAAATGTGGTTCATGAACAAAGCAGTTTATTTTTTGTTATAAATCTATGCTCGCTATATATAGTTTTGTTTATAAATATTAATTGCTTATATTGGTTATAAGAAACCTTTGATATAGCGTACAAACCCTCAAAGTTCCCGACAAGTTCGTTATAACCGAGTACCACTGCATCAACTTGAAGATGTATTTACGCAATCGTAAGCTTTAATAAAATGTTACCAAACGAGAACGAGTTGCGTTTTTATATATTCTTTTGACTTAACCTGTGTTGGATACTTACTTGTAAGCCCTTATATTTAAAAATTGTAAAAGTAGAGCACATCCTAAATTATGAAAATCATACTACACATAGATAAAGCGTCTGAATTACAAGTATGCTTTTAGATCCAAAATAAACGTTACAGTTTTCATTTAATATGACCTAGTACAGCATACTATGGCAGATAACATGATTATCAAACTTCGTTATGTACATATTTGTTTCAAACTTCCTGATCCATGTTAGTCATATCTGATAACTTACTCAGACGTGAATAGTTGAATTGGATGGTTTGTTAAAATGGTGGGACCTAAGATAATATTTTTATTTATAACTGGATGTGTAACCTGTTTGACTGCAGGTAAATTGTCTTCAGAATAAATCATATATCCATGAATTATCTATTTTAGATATTTTCTGTGTATATACAGCTGTCAAGCTGAATGATATGTTTTGATTTCAATGAAAACATTTTAAAATGAAGTTATCATTTTATTTATAACAATACTCATTTATGCGATCGCTTATTGACCTTACAGTTTGAAATAAAATCTATTGGAGAAAACATGTGTATAAGCGTATGTTTTATCCTCTGCTCCGTTCTTAAAAGTAACTTGCATAGCATGAAATCTATCTCAAAATAAATACGGACTAAATTTTTATATGGACAAAGCTTCCATTAAAATGAAGAAGTGTATGAATGAACATAATATGAGGCTTTATTGAAAGTCAAGTTCCGTTGGATCGATTCAAACAGTTGGTACACATTTATATTCTTTCAAACATGCTTTTTTGACATGTTTAAATAGCTGACTAGCTTGATCATCCTCCCCTTATTATCCCCTGCCGAAAAGGCGGCGGGGGATATAGAAATAGTCTTCGTCCGTCCTTCCGTCCGTCCATCCGTCCGTCCTTCCGTCCGACATTTTTGTCCGGAACATATCTCAAAAAGTAAAAGGTGCATAGATCTCATTCACGAGGTGTGCAGTGCATAAGAATGATAACTCTACCTTTCATATTTTTTTAATTATTGCCCTTTGCTATTTTTCATACTTAATTTTTCACCTCAGCCATCAGTTTTCGTTACCAAAAGACCTTAAAATTGAATAATTCTGCTCTACTTCATATACATGCTTCCAATGAGCAAACACTTTCGGCGGGGGATTGCCATGTTGACATGGCTCTTGTTCCTCTATGTGTTATAGCCTTAGATATTTTCTGTTTCCCAGCCTACACGTTCAATACCATTAAAATTTGATTATATTAACACAATGGTCCTGATTGCGTTCGTAATTCAGGTACGAAATTAATTCAATTGCTACTTCAGCTTATATGCCTTTCTGCTTGTTTCCATTACTGAAGCCAGTCTTATTTTTTGGTGCGATACAGGTTATGAGTTTCGTAAAATATGTTCCAAAACCATTGATCTTCTTGCGCTATGTTGTTGAAAATTGAGGTTCGTGATGTCAATGAAAATGATAATGTTTATCAATTGTAGCAGCTTTAAATCACATACTTATACTTAAGACAACCTCGGTGTGATACCTCTTTCTAAAGTACAGTATAAATTCAACAATTATATACTATAATTATAATTATATATCATTCTATACTAATATCGACAAATCATATTTATTACAGTTTTTCTCTATCCATGACGTTACATATACACTGTATCGACAAGCTCGTCACGTGACTATTGAAGATAAACATACACACGGCTGCTGTTGTAAATAGTACAATTTACTATGAAGAATGAAGGGAAGCACAGATCTTGACCACATTAAAATACTGATAAGCTCAAGTATCAGATAACATAACAAGTCTGTTTACAGGTTGCAATTAAACATTAATAATTTTCATTGTGTTAATAAATATTTTAGATACAGTTTAAACTACTGTCATGTCTTTAGATACCCAGTGTTCATAGCAATTCTCTCTATTTTGGTCCTCAAAGAACTCATTTACTGCCTCTATGACACCTTCATTGCTTGGGATGTGAGCGGACGAGTTGTCGTACAGGAGCAGACGCCTTGAGTCAGTCCTTTTACACGCAATTTCTAGACGCAGACGTCTCGATTTGTCTGCATTATACGTACCCTATATGATACGACCTTGCGCAAGATAGTCAATTAACCCCTGACTATCCCCCCCCAAAAAAAATTTAAAAAATAGGCCATCATCTTCCCTGCTAATAGCATCCTCGTGAGAAAGAGTGCTTCCACTGAATGCTCTGTTTTCTTTTACTCTGGATCGAAGTGATGGACCCGTGTTTCATCCTGAGTTACGATTCGGTAGATAATATCAGGTTAATCCTCGTAGCGAGACAAAATATACCTTGAAATGCGAAACCTGGTCCGTTCCTGATCGTCGGTCAACTGTCTGGTAATACATCTACCGGAAACTTTTGACATACCGTAGACATCAGTCAAAATTTCCTGAACTGAACCAAAGCTTATACCAACTTCCCTAGCAATGCTTCGCAGGTATTACCTTCTGTCGCACATGATCGTGCAAAGCTTCGGCAGCTTCATCGTTGATGGCCTCTATTGTCCACCCTGGCCTCTCATCATCTCCAATGCTCTCCCTGGCCCTCTTAACTACGGCAGCCCATTTTTCACAGTGCTTAAGGAAGGGGACTTATACAGAAGTGCATTCATTAACATTAAGGCAATGGTTATCTTTTATTAAAGTGGCCACTGTGATCTTTATCTAGTAAAAATGGAAACACGGAAGGATTGACGCTGATGCAAAGTACACATTCATGTAACTTTAAATGTAGCATAGACACAACATTTGATCAGGTTATTTATAGAAGTTCCGACATAATCATGCTTTATATATAAACAATTTTCTTGAAACAGTTCAATGGGTTTTCAGCAAGATTCCTGTCATAATTAAGCACAATCATCTGTAAAAATTCAAGGTACAATGTTAGCGTTTTGTTTAATAGCTGTCAAAAGCTTTCTGTTATTCGAAGACAACACTGTAACAAATTTCTAGGTTTCGTTACAGTGAAGCCGTTCAACTAAATGATCTATAAAGTTCTTAGATATATTTGTCTTTGCGATTAACACGATGACCAAGGTCATGCCAACCATAGATTCCAGGTAAAAAATACATTATAAATATCAGGTACTCCTAAGGTATTTAAATATTCTTTTGGGTTATGTAGAGCTATGCTTTGATCCAATCCATACATCAATATTTTAGGCATTCAATGTGTACACGATTTGTTATATCCAAACTTTTGTAATTAATAAGATTCTTGAAAAAATTGACCATTTTAAGTGCAACCTTGTCTACGAAGAAAACCCTAAATGAATCCAAACGCTGATTTGCTACACTTTTTCCATACAAAAGACTTTTCAATCCTGATACACTTTCTGTGTCGTTATATCTGAAAAAATAGTTAAAACAATGCTAGAGTTGAATCTTCAGTTCGTCTATCTCAACATAAGAACCTAGGAGCAATTCCTATTTTGTTAAATGTGTCTAGGTAGTATGACGCTATCACTACAGGAGAGTTATCGCTGTTTGATACTTCGAGCTATAAAATGAGTCGTCTATACAGATTGCTCCGTGGATGCAGAATCAACATATTTTAACTTGTCGTTACCATTTATATGTCACACAAAGTTAATCAGTTCTAGTTTTGTTAAATGCACCCCTCTGAGAATGCCTGCTAAATTTGTTATTACAACACCTTTTACTGGAGTTATAACAAACAGTCAAATTTAACAACCTCCATGCCTATTTAGAGACCAACGTCTGAAAAGGGATAAAGACAATTCTGAAATATGATAATTCATCAAGTTATTTCAATACACATAAGAAAACCGACATTTTTAATTATTTTAAAACAGATTTTTTTTTTAAATGTACCACATTTGATGATAAGGGAATTACACACATTAATACAGGCAACATATATCATGTTGAAAATAGCTCGATTGCCCTTTTCCTCCTATTGAAATTGGTTGTTTTTTACCCGGCCCTAAAATATAAGTTATAATCAATTAATCTTTAAACGCATTAGCTTTATCTCTGAAACTATTAAGTTTTAACCAAAACATTAAAGAAATATTATTAAAAGTTAATCTCACTTACATCTCTTTGTCTATCTTGCAGTTAATATGGCGTTTTCACAATTTTACAGAACCTCTAAGTTCTAAGAGCTAACACCTCAGTTCTTAGATCAAAGTTCTAAGATCTATCATCTTAGTTCTAACTTCTTACTCAAAACGGCCTCAATGGGCTTCGTAAGTATAGATGTTATCAGGCTAAGGGGAGATTTTCCGGTCTGTTCAAGTTTCACAAAATACATAATAAACTTAATAAGTGTATTTTTTTTCTTATGCCCCCCTTTCGAAGAAAATGGGGTATATTGTTTTGCTAATGTCTGTAGGTCTGTCTGTCGGTCTGTCTGTCGGTAGATCACATGGTTTCTGCTGATTATCTTTCACAAAATCTTCATATTTCACTTAGTGATTGGTCATAACTAGAAAATGACTCCAATTGATTTTCGGGTCACCAGGTCAAAGGTCAAGGTCACAGGGTCTTTGAATGGTAGTTTTATTTCAGCTCATCTTGATAGATAATTGTCACAAAGTCTTCATATTTCACATTGTGATCATAACCAACAGTTGATTTTTATTGCTTTTGGGGTCACTTGATCAAAGGTCAAGGTCACAGGGGCCTTAAATGTCTTTATTATCTTGAAAACTATCACGAAGTCTTCATATTTCACATACTGATTTGTCATAACTAGAAATTAACAGCAATTAATTTTTGGGTCACTAGGTCATAGGTCACGGTGACATGGTTCTTTAATGTTAGTATGTTAAGTCTTCTTATTTCTAATCTTGATTGGTCATAACTATTAGATGACCCCTATTCTTTTTGGTCACTAGTTTAAAGGTCTAGGTCACAGTGACCTTAAATGTCTCATTATCTTGACAACTATTTAGAACAAAGTCTTCATTATTTTCTTATTTTCCATAACTGAACACTTACATGTACCAATTTATGGCAAGTTTCTATTACAAAATTACCAATAATGTGATTCAAGGTCTGGAAAGAAGGGCATATGTGTCGTTCGATATTTAATGTTTCTTCTTTTTCCGTGCATGGATTTTCAAACTGTTTTATTTTTGTATATATTATGCAAGTTTCATATCGTTTTTTATTTTCTTATTTCACATTTTAGGACTGATTATTAAATCATTTGATAGCATTACCCTTATTACATGATTAAGAATTCTTTAGACATTTGGAATAATTTTCGAAATATTTCGAGTAATATTTGAATTTTTGATTGATACTTTCGCTATTGATAGTGACGTATCAGCGGTATATTTTATATACAGATAAAGTGTAATAGGTACACAATATATCAAACCTATGCTTTCATTTTATTTTTTTTAAAATACAACAGCAAGAAAGAGAGAGAGAAAAAATAAGAAAATTCGTAGTACTCGAACCCGTGACAATGTTTCCTTCGTTGTAATCTCGACGACTCTACCAAGTTCACCATCTAGACAAATACTAGACAATTACTTTTTGATTTCAACTTACCGTTATGTTTATTTCATAATGACCCGCTTTACCATTTCAATGGATGTTTTTAAAATTTCGTGTACACATAGATGTAAAGTTTCTCTTACATTATCATAGACAAACAGTTTTTGTGTTTATTCAAACTTACACTCAGAAAAGTCTGAAAATTAATAACCATTTGTTTAGACAACACCGGACAAACGTACATAACCTGTAGCATTCCTAACATTTGATATTTTGCCTTATTCGAGTGATTTATTCCATTACCTGTTTTATCTCATCATCATCATCTTTAGAACCAGCAGGAAGTTGTCTTTTAAAGAAAATATTATTTTTATGTTATCTGTAACATGTACCGATCGATTATGCGTAACTATATATCCTATTGTTTTGTCGTGTACTTGAAATAAGGTTTATCTCAATCGATCATCTTGAATTAATACTAATAGCTTTCATAATGTATAACACTCATAGTAATTGATACTCATATTTGACCAAGATACACTATTGAATATGAGGGGTGTTCCAATTATAATAGCATTTGCCTTTGCCTTCCTAAACTAAAAGTAGTTTCGTCATTTTAAATTTCTCTGGTCCTCAAAATACTTCCCCCTACCTAAACACGCAGTTTGAGTCGCTAAAACTAACTTTGAAAGCAGAGTTCATACTCTTTAATGTGGACGTTCATTAGGTATTGATAAAAAGCAGACCCAATGGCATTTCTCGACTTGTATCTCTTTCCAGAAACTTGGAATTTGAGTTTTGGAAACAAGAAAAGGTCAGAAGGGGTCAAGTCTAGTGAATATTGAGGATGCGGAAAAACAGTTACTTTTTCTGATGCCCAAAACTCGGCCACAAGCCTAGCTTTATAAGCGGGGGCATTTTCATTCACAAGCCGCATATACTTCATTCCTGTGCTTCGGCGGCGGCGTTTGTAGCCGGACTTTTTCAGAACATCATTTCTGTTGAACTTTGCAGTTATTGTTCTGCCTTGTGGTACCGAAATTTTTATTACTGGTGCCTTATTATCATAGACAAGGGCCATCAGTGATGACATGTGTCGCCTCATGATAGACATGACTTGGCAAAATTCTTTCAACCTAAAAACCTGTGTAATATGCAAAAGAAAATGAGCTATCGATCAATCCTGTAAAATTTCATTGAAATTGGATAATTGGTATAACAGGTGTTGTCCGGACAGATTTCAAAATTAAAATCATGAAAGGGCATAATCTCTGACAAAAATCAATGAACCATAAAATGTTGATGAATTGCACAACTAGGCATGATATTGATCATTCCCCTAATTTTTTTATAAAATTGTACCAACATTTTATGAGGAGTAGTACAGACAAACTTCTGTGTAACTGGCAACACAAAAAGACACCTGTTTCTTTCAAGGACAATAACTCAGCCAAAACCCATTCAAACAAAAAGCAAGCTTGTATATTATGCACAAGTACTTGTCATACAAATTAATCCTGTAAAGATTCATTGAAATTGCATTAATGGTATATGAGGATTAGTCCGGACAAACTTTATTATTTCAAGGGCCATAACTAGGCTAAAATCATTCAAGCGGAAAGCCCGTCTAATTTGCGCAAGTGCTTGACCTGCCAACTAATCATATAAAGTTTTTAAATTATTGAAATTGCATTAGTGGTATATGAGGAGTAGTCTGAACAAATTTTAAAAAATAAGATAATTAAAGGGCCATACCTCTGACAAAATTCATTGAACCATCAAAGTCGATAATATGCACAAGTAGACGTTGCACAAGTAGACGTGGTACTAATCATTTCCGTAAAATTTGGATGTAAATGCACCAGTGGTTTTTGAGAAGTAGTCCGGACAAGCTTTTGTGTATCTGGCAACACACAGAGAAAACACCTTTTTATTAAAGGGTCATAACTCGGCCAAAAATCATTCAATCAAAAAACCCACACTATATGCGCAAGGACTTGAGCTACAAATCAATCCTGGAAATATTCATTGAAATTGCATTAGTAGTATAAGAGGAGTAGTCCGGACAAACTTTAAAAATAAAAATCATTTAAGGGCAAAAACTCGGACACAAATCATTGAAATGGAAAATGCTGATGATATGCACAAGTAGACTTGGTACTGAATAATCCTGTAAAGCGTGGATGAAATTGCACCAGTAGTTTATGAGGAGTAGTCCGGATAAGTTTTGTGACAGAGAGACAGACGGACTGACGGACAGACAGACGACGGAGAAGTGATCCCTATATGTCGCCTCTATACCGTAGAGGCGACACACAAATCACATACAAATCTTTCTTAACAGTGCGTCGCTTGGCAATTTTGGATGTAATGCAATTTTAGTTGCCCAAATTCTATTTGAACATTTCCGCTTTGGCTCAAAATAGTACAATCATGTCTCATCACCTGTAAATAAGTTGTGGAACGCCTTTTTGTTATATTTGGGACGCAATTGGAGAAGCCTTTTTTGGCATTTGAATGACGAGTTCTCTTTTTGTTCGTCTGAAAGTAACGGGAAATACAATGAAATCGTGCTAAAGACAAGTTTTTCAACAATGCTAAATATGTCATTGTTTATCTGGCATCTTTGCTAAGCATGTTCCTGATTTTTTCTATGTTGTTTTTCGTCGTCGTTGTTGTTGCAGGTCGACCTGGGGAAGTAGCATCTTGGACTTGCTGCTAGACTGTTTTAAATTTAGCAACCCACCTACAATTAGATCTTTAAGAAATTAAACCCTTCCCTTACAGGCGTTTTGCCGAGCAATGTCCGAACTTTCATATAAACCCTAATTTCAAGCACATCTATAGCTCTTCTACCAGTCATTTGCATGTATAGTGTAATAAATACGCCATTAATCAATGTACAATGTACCAAGGTCAGTGAAATTTTGAACGATATTTTCATCCCTGTTTTATGAATATTCTATCGGTCCGAAGTGGTTTATAGTACTTAGCACGCGATATTCACGAGATAATGCACAAATGACATTATTTTTTGAAAATTCCTCGTTTCTTATTTGCCACCGATTTCAGTATCTGTCTGTTATAATCAAAACTATCGAAACAATTCAGATGGAAATAATTTTATCATAACTTTAGCCCTATAATCATTATATTATATAATGCTTTAAATGTTTCTTGTATCAAATTCAATCAGTTGAATGACGACTCATCTAAAATAACTATAATACTTTCCATATACTTATTTATTGTCGTCTGCTGTTGCCCATATTTCACGTATCTTGAAAAGTTTCAGGACAGTGCATACTACAGTAATAGTCCCGTTTCAGATTTCTTAACATGTCTGACGCAGACCACCAACTCATGGAACTTCAGTTTAAAAATTTCAATAGTGCCGGAACGGGATATTGAACTTGCACTTCCAAGAAACCCAGTAGGTCGCATTACCACTTACAAAAGGATCTGCGACAGTAACCTAATCTGTGATGATGGATGACAGTATTTATCTCAGCTATGATGAATGCTCATGCTAAACAAAACATATTTCGTTGTCTGATTTAAATTATCTTTCTTTTTTCTAAAATGCTCATTATCCTGTAAATTATAGACAGTACCTACAACATGACTTTGGAAAGCACCGGAAGTGTAAGTCATGGTAACACATATACAATATTTGTTCAGATTGAGTGTATATGCATATTTAATCTATACGTTGTATAGAGAATATTGCATTATTTTGATATAGTTTTCTGCGATTAACCAAAAAATAGCAAATTCATTTAGAACAATTAGTGTTGCCATAGAGGTCCGGAAGGAAAACGAACACACATATGATGAACTCGGTATTTTTAAGATAATATGCAACCTGGTCTGCCATACAAGTGACCTTTGAAAGCCATGATTTAGATTTTTCGATTAATCTAGTGATTTGATATCACTATTTTAAGAAATAGTTTACTTTAAGTTGTAAGCATGTTTTTAAAAAATTGAAACACAGAAATAGTTTTCATCTGTCTTTTTCTTTCTTTTTGGTATGTAGATACTGTCGAACAAATCTTTATCAGAGACAGCAAGGTCCCTGTGAAAGGAAATGATATACAGGTTGTATGTGAGGTGTCACAGTTCACCAGCGGTGGTATTGTCAGTGTCTATAAGACAGACTCCATTCCTCCAGCGGACTTAACTCCAACTCCATCAGTAGTAAAATGTACCCAATCAGTGTGCTTAGGAAGTATACCAAGACATACATTCAGTACTAGCAGCAGTGGTGTCACTATTACAGTCACTAATCTCAATAGATCAGAAGACCAGAAATATTGGACATGTGCAATCAGCAACCAGAGAAAATACATGCAGCTTACTGTATACAGTATGTATATCGTTAAAGAATCGGTTAAACATAATTATGTGATGCAAACATTCACATACATATATTTTCCATTCGCTTATAATTAGACAAAATTATATATACTACAGTAGATTTCGTCACTTTGATTTGACATGAGTCAAGACAATATTCCGCAAAAAAACGCGAGAATGTTTCTCAGTACGATACACAAGCGCAGATTAACATTACTCAGTTTGAAATTTGAGCTGAATAGATATATTAGATCGATTAAGGCTGTAGGTTTAAAGTAATTCAATACCTGTGTCCATTATATATGACTTTCTACATGGTTTTAAATAACTTTTTGATATATTTTACCCGTGTAGCTCTCAAATATATCTCTTTTAAGGAATTGTTGTATAAATTCCATTACAGCAATTACTTCATCGCTTCAGTACGATCATCCACCAAACCATGCTCAAGACTTAGTTCAAAATTCAGTAACCCTTAGATGTAGCACAGGATGTGCCTATCCTTCACCAAATTTTATATGGTATTATATTAAGGTAGGTTGATAACTATCATATATAAACATCATCATTTTAAGACTGACTGGATAGTTATATATATGCGTATTTATTTAAAACTTGTAATGTTCAGCATGTTATCAAAGAATAAAGAAGATGTAATATTAAAATTACAGTGTAATGGTCATGTCAAGAATGACCAACAATGGCACCTGTGCCAAAGAAAAATGGAGCTTGTGCCGATATATCGTTTATCTACGTATTTTTAAAAATACTTCGTAAATCAACTGATGATTGCTATTGATGTTAAAGATAATTGTTTTTTATTTTTGTCTTATTATGTATGTTACAATTATAGACTAATGGATCACGTCAAAAATGGTCAACAACAACACCTGTGACTAATAGAACTGGTGATTGTACGGACTCTGAGAAAATATATACGTCAACGTTAACATTACCAAGAAATACAGTGTTTACTGACGACACAGATACCATTGTGAAGTTTCAGTGTGGTGCCATATCAGAAACTGGTGCAAAATATCAACTATTTACGCAAACATCCGTAGATATTCGATTTGCAGGTACACATTTATCTTTACTCAGTCTCTCATCTTTTGATCTACATATGAAAGTTTTGATCTACATATGAAACACATTAAGAAGTCATGTTAACGTAGAGCTTTTTCAGCACTGAGGATGTTTACCTGTTTCAAGTAGAGTCGAGCAAATCACTCATAATCATGTTTTGTGTTTGTTCCTGTTATATGTACATACAGATTATGTCCCCTTTTACACGGATAAACATTTCACTAAAGTCAGTATTCACACAATCATAATACCAGGTTTAGTAAAGGGTATTGCATTTAGAATTCCTAGAATTGAAGGGTTTGGAAAAACTCCTTTTTCTACAATGGTTGCTCCGTTTGGAATAAACTACCAAAAA